GGGTTGATAGATCGGGTAGGGGTCAGGTAATTATGTGAGAAAACTGCAGCCATGAGGCAACAGTGTAGGGATTGCCCATTCACCTGAATGTACGTTTCAGTTACTTTGTCCTGTTTCGTAGGCTGCTGGTGGTCGCATCATGGTCAGCCTCTCTGGTGCTGATAGCTGTGATGCTGTGCTCTCTGATACAAGTTTATTAGACAGCCCGCAATTTTGTAGACTTGCTGAAGGACAAGTGCCTCTGTAAAAACAGGAGTGTTTTCACATTGCATTTACCATTTTGTATAAGCTTGCAGCAGCATTTCCACATCACGTGTAGCCTTAAGACTGATCAGATATTTCAGAGAGAACGTCTTTTGGAAGTTCTCACTGCTGTCGGATTACTAAGGGAGGCAGAAGGGCTTCAGAAGCTGCAGACCCAGCTCACTGGAGGCAGGGGAGAGGCTTCAGCTGACTTCACTGAACCTCCTATCCTGTCTTCAGTCACTCTGCCTGGCTACACGCTGTTCTCTATGCACACCAACTTCTGTGACCCAGTGATGAAGCAGACAGGGGGATCCACCCAGCAGAAATAAGCCAGAGGAACAAGTATCTAAGTGAATTATATTTCAGCCCAACACCTAGCTAAATGATTGGGATGTACCAGCACAACAGGACATAGAGGTATGGAGAAGGAATTGTCCTGGAGAGGAAAAAAAAGTTCAGGAATATAATAATTTTTGAGCACAGGCTTTAAAAAAGCAGTTTATCTTTTGACACAAGTTTAGATCAGAGATTGTCATGGATTTGCCATATTTGTAGGACAAGTGAAGAGATTTTTGCCCACATGGTTTTTCAATTAATCCCTTGCAGGAGTAAATATTTAAGTTGACAAATTTTCTAGAGAAAAAGTCCCCAAATGACATTGCCTTTTCTTGGATCACATTTTTTTAATATATTCTTCTCTGTTTTCTTAAAATAAATATAAATAAAAGGCATGACATTTTGTTGTTGTTGTTACGGAGTACTAGCCTGCACTACAAGCACTGGGTACTTTTCCTGTGCTGCTGGAACGCCCAGCAGGACTGCTAACACTGAGGGAGAGTGAAGCCTTAAAGCAGTGAATTTCACCCCAGAAAACTATATCCAAGGAATGCAGATGTGATTGCTAATTGAAGTATTTTTTGTTTAACTTTATCAAATAAAGTTATTTTAATGGTAAATACTTCATTAAGGCTACAGAGAAGGTGGCTGCTGTGTGATCCCAAGCATCTAGAGAAAAATGGAGAAAAACAAAAGATCTAAAATAATCTAAATGGAACAGGCATTGAAATAACCAGTGGTGATTTTAAAAAGTGGTGGCTCAGAGAAACTGCAGGCATTGAAGAAAAACTTTGACAAAGTAAACTAAAGACCATTAAAATAAGAACATAGGAAGCGTGGCTTGGCACAGAGAAGGAAACAGGAAAAGTTCCAATCAATGTAACTGGAAAGAAATGTAAGAAGTTTTGAGAGAGACACCAGCATCATCAAAGTGGGTGAATTTTTAATAGAGAAAATTCTCACACGCAAAAACTATGTCTACTGGATTGTGTAAGTATGCAATATTTTTGAGGATGTTCATTGCTTTTCCAGATGTGTGTGTTATCCTTTGTGGTTTGGCTGAGATCAGAGAGACTAAAAGAAATCACAATGTCTTTCAGAGATGTGGGAAAGTTTGTTCACCCTTTGCAAACTTCCCTCCAAACTGTATCTGACTTCCAGCTACACATTATGTTATGAGAATCAAAGAATCAAGATGGTTTTCTTTTCTCATATTAATTTCAGTTCAGTTCTTAGGAAATATAAACTCTGCCTCCTTGTCCCTGACTAACCTCATACTTCAAGACAAAGATTCCCACTAACAACTCCAACTCTCCTTCTACTTAGGAAAAGAAGGAATATGTGGCGTGGGAGCTGTTTTCAGGAATCAGTGAGGCTTGATGTCCTGCAGGCTTATCTGAAGTTTTCAGAGAATGGCTGTGGAAGAGCACCAGAAATACTATTTTGGAATATGAAAATAAGAGTGTTTTAGGGGACATACCATTTCTGCTTGATTCCTTATAAATATATTTTTTCTTCAAGTAGTGAATAAATTATTGCAATTTATTATTTTAAAAAGATAATACTGTACTTTATCTTTTTGTATCTCTGAGAACACTCTTGCAGCCACTTTTGCTCTGCTTGCTAGTGTCCATTCTTTCATTCCTTTTGGGAAGTTCCCAGAGTTTTTTAAAAAAACCCCGACCATTAAGTTTATTAATGTTTTTCATGCCACTGAATAGAGAATTATGTTCTTTTTATGTAGAATTATGTAGGATGTTTAGTCTCACCTCCCTGATAGCCTTGTTGTATTACTTTGGGAAAATTTCTTAGCTTGTTTTTAGCTCATTATGCCTATTCATAGAGTGAGTATAAAAATGTGTATGTCAAGTAGCACTTACAAGAATTCATTAATTTATTTAAAAGATGTAGATACATTTTTGAAATATAAACCCAATGTAGTATAATTTTTGATCAGCAGTAAGAATGGGATGAGCAAGATTAAAGCAAGATGAAGAGGAAAAAGAAAATAATGGATTCCAGACTTCCATTGATAAGTGAACTGTTTATCAAAGATTGATGATTACTAATTGGAGGGTTAAATGACAAGTGGTATTATTTAGGTCAATAGCATACTGCTATATGAGACTGGAATCAGGCCTTGTCAGCAGTACCGTTTGCCATCTAGCAGTTTTAAGATGAACAGGAGTACTTAGTTCTCAGACCTCTCTACCCTTTGAGTAACACAGAAAATGTTTTTGGTTGTATGGCTGGATAATTCCACTACAACTGTGAGTGCTTTATTTGTTGTGCAGGCATTATTATTTTGTATTATTGCATTTTTAAAATGAATTATGCCAGCTCTAGAAAATTAGAATGTAAGTTTCAGTCAAAGACTTTTGTTTGGATTGATGGTTGATTATGTTACGATGATGGAGACAAAGATTTTGATATGAAAGAGGATGTACGATTTTACATAGTAGATTTAGAATCTACTTTTTATAGGCTTATAATTCCTCTGATGACCATTAGAGATTTAGAGCAGTTAGAAATATGGGCTCTTAAACTGTATGTTTCAGCCTTATCTCAAGGAGCATTTCTGTCCTAGTCTCGTAAAAGCCCTTCATTACCATGGTACTAGTAAACAAATTTTTATTCATGGTTCTTTTTTATTTGTATGTTAGAAAAATAATTATTCCAGTCCTGAGTTGATGAATGTCTTGATTTGCATGACATACACTTAGTTTTTTATAAAAAGCTACCTCATTGTCTGCCTTTTTGATTTTTTTTTCTAATTCTAAGGCTTTTTCTGAAGAACAACACCCTGTCCCAATTTTTGTTTTGGTGTCACGTAAGAAGGTGACATTCAGTCATTCTTTTCTAGGCTTTCCTACCTGTTTGCCTTTCTTTTGTCTTTCTGAAGCGTTCTGCAGCATAGATCTGAGTTTAGATGAAAGGGTATCTTTTCTTTTTAACGAGGTAGCAGTGACCCTCCATCTGCAAAGATACTATCCGTGCCATGGTCATGCTAGATTTGCTGAGCCAAAGTACATTCTAAGCACAATAAATGAGAGCATGAGTACCTACAAATGTCTCCTCTTCAGTCACTATTTCTGCAAAGGACATTGTCTCTATAGAGAGTCCTTGTAGGCGAGATAACAGAAGGTGAACAGCTATTATAAAAAATATACTGAGAAAAGAGGCTGTGCCCCTTTGCCAGATGAGGACTTCAACAAATAGAGCATGGCTTCATCGGAGACCACAGAGTGCCCCCTGCTTATCCCTCTCTCTCTGCTGAAGCCAGGGAACGAGGCACAAATACAGAACGTGACTTGCACTTTCAACAGGGCAGAGTCGTGGCCACGTCCACTGGCATGCTGTATGCGCAGCAGCACCAGCCACACGGGGCAGCTGACCCTTCAGGATCCTGGCATCTGCCTGACTGTGAAGATGCTCCTTGTCCTCCTCCAGAGAGCTGGGACTCAGCCACCACTGCAGCACCGGGAGCCGTGGGTTAAAACAGGGAGGAAGACGCTTGTGGGCTCCCCCTAGTAACTCGTGTCAAATGTAAGGCTTGGAAGGCACAACCGTTCATTGCCTAGGATTATCAACTTGTTTTCCTCGGGGAAAAAATATACCCTATAGGGTTGTGCTGCCTTTTGGACAAGCTGCTGACTCAATGTTCAAGCTGAAGAGAATAATAAATTATTCTGAAAAACAAAGGAGTCGTTTTGGTTTTTCATTTAGCAGTAGTAGTAAGTGTGCACGTGATATACACATGAGTCTTGTCTCAAACCTAGGGTTGAGAATTGTTACCTTCAGTGAAGAAATGTATATTTTTATCGTGCTTTAGCTAAATGGTGACACTTCATTCATGAAGAACTGATGTGCAATGTGAGAACAAGGCCTTACAAAATCCTAGCATCCTTTTTTGCATTTCTGTCTACTGGGCACGTGCAGAATTCTGCAAAAAAGGTATTTGATTAAGTACCTACATCTGGAATTTAGATATGTGCAAATGTTTGCTAAAAACATCCCATGCCTTTTGTAAATAAAGTGTAATCAAAATTGGAAGGAATGAAAACACTTACTTAAAAGGTGTTTAAAGAGCCCATCTTGGGGTAGATTATTGGATATTCCCCAGATTTAGAATGCAAATTCTTTCTTTATTAGTTCAGCAACTTCTTTGTGAGGTTCTGTACTGAAAAATCATGTTCATTTTCCCACAGCTAATTATTATTTTCAGAACACACATGGTCTGAAATATTTGTATTGTACCTTAATGATTTGGAGATGTGGAATAGATTTATTTCTAATTTTCTATCTTAAGTAACTTCTTTAAGGTAAAACCTACAAACTTATTTTATTTAAAAGACTAATACCAAACACTATATAATTGATTTATCGATATGGTGCTTCTCCCTCAAACAAAGATTTTGTTCTGTTTTCTTTTTAGGAAGGAGGCACAGCTGGATGAAGAAGGACAGTTTCTTGTCAGAATAATTTACGATGATTCCAAAACCTATGATCTGGTTGCAGCTGCAAGCAAGGTCCTTAGTAAGTAATATGGATATCTTCTTTGCTTATTCATCACATAAAAGATAACCCCTCCGAAAAAAATCCACCTAGCAGAGAGAAACGATTTAGTACAGAGGAAGTGAAAACAAGGTATTGGTCAAAGACAGAATTTGAAGAAGAAAGGGTTTTTCTTTAATTTAGCTAAGATGTTTTTATTCTTTGTATTCCTTGAAGTGATTTTTTATTACTTCCAAAGCATTCCAAGCCGTAGGTATACCTTAAACTGCAGTAATATACCTCATCCACAGAACATGGTCAGTATTACAAGCGGTCATGAAGTAACAATATACTGCCGTAGCTACCTTGCTAATACACCCAGGTTTCAACTGCTGCCACAAGAGCAGCCTGTGGCTGCTGAGTCCTCGATCTCTCTGTTGAAGAATCATGCTGAGGTACAGAAATGCTTGTTGCATGGACATATCTCATTTCATATCTGCCATTGATTTGGGTCACATTAATTTTCAATCATTGCAGCTCTTGTTTGGGATTTAAAAGGTAGAATTATGCCCATCAGCATTATTTTATCTGCAGAACCAAGTGCGGTATGAATTTTTTCTGAATCAGTAATTAGCCAAGAACCCATAATGGGGTTGACTATGATGGTTGTAGTAGTTATGTTGAATTGGAGCAGCTGGTGTGGTTTCATGCTATTGTAAACCAGAAGTAACTCCCCTGGGGCAAGCACTACTGACAACCGAGTTCCTTTATTTTCACATAGTGATTTCTTATCTCTATCAAAATCTAAAATGCTATACATGTGTGAAATGAACAACGCGGCAAAGTCATAATAATTGGTAAATCCTAATGAAATTTCTGTATTGAATACTCATTATTTGCCATGTGGACCCTGAATCTTGTTTTTCTCCTATTCTTGACCTACTGTATCTGGTTAGAGTTTAGGTACTGTCTTTCTTTCTTATCAAAACGAGATTAAAGTAGTAAGCAAAGTGTGTGAAATGCAGTGTTTGGACTGAATCATACTTTCCTGTTTTAACTAGATCTAAATGCTGGGGAAATTCTTCAGATGTTTGGGAAGATGTTTTTTGTGTTTTGTCAAGAATCTGGTTATGATACAATCCTACGTGTCTTGGGCTCAAATGTCAGAGAGTTTTTGCAGGTAAGAATTTTGTGCCAAATTATTTCAGATACCAGACAGAAGTATGGTCTAGTCAACAGATCATCAGTTGAGATTTGGAGATAAAGGTTGTACTGTATAATCTTCCAGTTATTTGTGGAGAGGTGACTGAAAACTTTTTTCCTTGGTATTTGTATTCTGTGGAGCTTTCTACAGCTTAGCAGTTTTGTCATTGTTGTTCTCTTCCCCTCTCAGTTGATATATTATTCAGTCACTTGATAGAGTAATAATTTTCCCATAGCATCTTTGACTGTTCAATTTCATAAAAAAGGAGTGAGAAGGCAGGTAAGCTGGGGTTGCAGAGGCATTCATAAATCTGAAATTTCATTTGAAATTGCAAAGAAAAGGTTTTAACAAGAGTTTTGATATGTAACAAAAGTATAGAGTACAAGAGACATGAAAAAACCCACCAATTCAAATTTTCTATGTGTGTTAATTAAAAAGACTTACGTTGTTTATACTTACAGAAAGTGTGGTCTTCAGATGTGTAGGATATTTCTTCTCCTAAGTTCTCTTTGACTAATTATAAATACTGGTTCTTTCTAATTGTACATTATGTACAGTAGGGTTCATACCCAGTTATCTCTAAGACACTATCCTTCATCCATGATCTGAGGGTTGGATAGAACAGCAGTGTCAAATTTTATGCTTTTCTAACTGCAGAACAGCATGATACTGCACTGTAAAACGAAACAAAATGAAAACAAATTTTCAAAAGCATGGAAGAAATGTAGTGAGTTCTCTAAAATGGGATTTCTAGAAAAAATGGGCTTCCTTTTTTTGTCATCTGAAAATTGTCCACTTCAAAAAACCACTTTGGATTTAAGGTTTGTGATATATATCACTCTTGTAGAAAACTGTGTTCTGTAATGAGTTTAAAAACACTGAACTGATTAAGATTTCACAGGAGATTGCCCAAAAGCTGAGTGTCAAATCTCTATTGATTTTCACTGCAAATTTAGCAGCATCTTGTCATCTGCTCCCTTAAAATCTCTCAAGCAATAATAAGTGAAAAAAGAAGAGTGCGTAGTTTGCTGGATTACTAGAATATTTACTTCTGTGTCTCACTACCTGCCCTAAAACCTGGATTATTCCAGAGCATCCTAGATGTAGTCGACCCAGACTTCTTGTACAAATCCCATAGACTGTAATTGCTGGGCAGACAGACAGGGTATGTGTGTGCTCCAACATGTGCATACCATGTGTGATCTGTATACCATTGTCTGTCTATGGGATGTGACTTCCTTTATATTTCACAGCTTCATTGAGGCTGCCCTCAAAGCAAGCCTTCGGATAAATGTAGTTTTTAAAGACTACTTCTGTACTGAAATTGAAATTAGGGTTGAGCAAGAATAGGGGAGGAGGAAGAAAAAGGTGTAGCTGGCCCATTGCTCTATCACTTTGGCCAGTCCTTCCCTATTCCTTTTCCTCATCCCCTTTTCCGTATAGTATACTTCTCCTTCCATTCCTTACCATGTGTGATGATGAAAAGACTGGGCACGTTTGTAGTATCCACCAAACCCCTATAAAAGCATGAACAGTTTATATTTGTATTCTTCTAACGACAGTATTTTAGGCTGCTTTGTTTGAATTTCAGTGTTAACAGATGACGTTGACTATTATATACTTCTGTAAATTTTAACATGGCTAATGTATTGGTAGCTGTGCCAGAAGTGTACTTTTAAGCTTTTTATTATGATGGAAAATCAATGTTATCCATGATTTATTATTTTTGCATCGCACAGCAGTCAGATTAGGTCAGGAAACTAATTTATATACCTGTTACAAAAATAGGTGCAGATTGGTTTTAATGTGCTGAACTTTTGTCAAATTCTTAAAATACGTAGTAGAGTTCCAAATGGTGCTTCTTGAAATCTGCACTGAGTCCCGCATATATGAAATAATTGAGATCTGCAGCTTTTTAAAGCATGTGAAAATAAATCTCATATTTATATCCTGTTTCCCTTGACATCTCAGAGAAAATTTAGTTTATTCATAGACAAAACACAGGTACTTCAAGCTTCATGAATGAGGAAAAAGATAGCGCAACTAAATCTAATATTTATACTTTCTGTGAAAAACACAGGCCTGGAAAAATTGCAAATCATACTGAAAGACAGTGTGCCAAAGAGAGAGTGTGAAAAGAGGTAACTCATAAGAAACCCTTTTACGTTATGGTCAGTAGCTTTCTACCAAATGAAGATCAAACACTGGAGTAGTAGTTAGTTCTCTCATTTAGGGAATCATTTACATGGCTATTCTGTTGTTCATAATTGCAGTGCAATAAATTTCAGGGGACTAATTCCTCTTTTAGAAAAGTTTGCAGATGCTCTGTACCACACGGAGCTGAACAGCATATCTTTGTATTTCAGATGCCAACTACAACTCTTTTAATTTTAGACAGGCCAGGATCTGCCTAATCATAGAATCATAGAATGGTTAGAGTTGGAAGGGACCTTAAAAATCATCTAGTTCTACCCCCCCTGCCATAGGCAGGGACACCTTCCACTAGACCAGGTTGCTCAAAGCCCCATCCAGCCTGGCCTTGATCACCTCCAGGGATGAGGCATCCACAACTTCCCTGGGCAACCTGTTCCAGTGCCTCACCACCCTCACAGTAAAGATTTTCTTCCTAATATCTCATCTAAATCTACCCTCTTTCAGTCTAAACCCGTTACCCCTCATCCTATCACCACACTCTTTGATAAGGAGTCCCTCCCCATCTTTCCTATAGGCCCCCTTTAGGTACTGGAAGGCCTCCCCTGAGCCTTCTCTTCTCCAGACTGAACAAACCCAATTCTCTCAGCCTGTCTTCATAGGAGAAGTGCTTGAGTCCTTTGATCATCTTTGGAGCCCTCTTCTGTATTTGCTCTAACAGGGCTGTGTCCTTGTGCTGACTCTGGAGCTGGATGCCGTAGTCCAGGTGGAGTCTCACGAGAGCAGAGTAGAGGGGCAGAATCCTCTCCCTTCACCTGCTGGCCATGCTTGTTTTGATGCAGCCTAGGATATGGTTGGCCTTCTGGGCTGCAAATGCACATTGCTGTCTCATGTTGAGCTTCTCATCCACCGACCCCCCCAGGTCCTTCTCCTCAGGGCTGTTCTCAATCGGTTCTCTGCCCAGCCTGTATTTCTGCTTGGGATTGCCATGACCAAGTACAGGACCTTGCAGTTGGCCTTGTTGAACTTCATGAGGCTGGCATGGGCCCACCACTCAAAGCTGTCCATGTCCCTCTGGATGGCATCCCTCCTCTCCAGCGTGTCAACCCTGCCACACAGCTTGGTGTCCTCATTTAATATCACTGCTTGTTCTTGCTTGGAGATCCCTTTGTGTTTCACCATGGAGCTGATCACTGCTGTCCAAAGCTCCAGAATTAGTGTCTCTGGTCCCAGCACAAAGTCTGGTATACCTCTGAGCAGTCTAGGAGCCAACAATTCCGGGAGAGAGCTTAACCTGCTATTATCTGTACCTGACTGCACCTCTGGCCCACAGCAGGTGAACAAACAGAAAAAGAAGACACATTTGTTTGTCCAGGAGCTGCCATATCAATTTAGAATGGATCAAACACAACAAAAAATCGGAGTGGGAGGGACAGTGACAATGTCTAAATGACAGGATCTGGGAATGATTTCAGCTCCTTCGTCTGGAAGCGCATCTCTGCTGTTGTAGCAAGGTGCTGAATACAATAAGCTCTTTTTTCACCCCATAATCTGCATGCATAGGGAGAAAAGACACATTGGGGATTGGAAAGTAGCTGCAGTACATCCTGGGCAAGTCCCCCACTCTGAAAGATTAGAAAGACTGAAGGACATATCACAGGCTTGCCACTGCTTGGATGAAGTCAGTAATGGGGTAGTAAGGTGCCAAAGTGGTCTTGTAGAATGGGGCTACTGCCATTTGTTAGCAACACTTATGTCGGACTGAAATGTTAATAATTAGACAACCATCTTGTAAAAATTCTGTTGTTGGCATTGGCCATTTCCCACAACAAACTCCTTTTGAAATTCTTCAGGTGTTGATGACTGTGTAACTGGACGATTCTTGTCTTTTCCCATATATCTCCTTAAGAGTTTTCTTCCAAAAGGTCAATATATCCCAGCTGGTTCTGAGTCATGTGTACTGAAAGAGCAATTCTGCACCCAGTTAAGGAGATTGTGGGGCACTCCCTTGGAGGCAGTCCGCTCTCTCGCTTTTGTCTTATCCATGCTCTTTCAAAGCAGTCTTTTCCAATTTCATTGTCTTGAACCCTACAAAATTCTTACAGAATTTACCTTCAGGCTTTATGCTTTTTGCAATTGAATGCCCACTAACAGCTGGAATGAATTGACTTTCAGATTGTTGCCTCTTCAAGTTTTAATTTGAAGGTGTTGATATGGCAACAAAAACATGAATTTGAAACAAACTTAAAAAAAAACAAAAGGGGAAGTTCCAGGCTGAGTGCATCCTACAGAATTAATTTCCAAGAGTCTCATTTCCTCTGGAGGCCTCCCAGGAGAAGAGACAGCTGTTTGAGCACTTCACAGCTCACATGAAACCAAGTTCAGTATGCTTCCACAAATTTGATGATCGACATGTGCTCATCAAAGGTGGAGAATGGCCTGGACGGCACACTGAAAATACTTTCACCTCAGTTCCCTTTGTGCTGGCAGAAGACAATAGGCAAAGACTGGTACTAGCAGTTACCTGGGGGTCTGAGAGAACAACATTTAAAAGATGCAGTAATTTTCTGGACTTAAGATGTAAAGGTGTTGTATGAATTTTAGAACATAGGGAAATGATTATGTGGGTTGCAACACTATCCAGCAAGGTTGCTCTTTCTGTGATAAATATATGGTAAATAGCAAACTGGAGCTTGATAATTGCTTTATAATCAAAGTTGGAAATAGTGTTGTGTTCTAAGTATGATTTTTATACCATTGTTCTCTTTAATGCCCTTATTAGATATGCCTATCAATATATCATTTAGCTTTCCTCTCCAGATAGCAGTTTGTCTCGTCAAAATTTAAATTTAAATACATAAGATGTCCAGGACATCAGGTGGAAAAATTGAAGACCTCTTTCCTTTCTTGAATAACCTTTGCTGAAACATTATTACAGGAGTTGTGTTATGTTCTATATATTCTGTGGATTTTTTCAGTTATTTTCAAAGAAAGTGTGTATTTGAGGTTGGTCTTTTAATCATTTAAATCTTTACTTTAAAATTTGAGACTTTGTCAGGCCCTGTAAAGTTGGGTTGTCTGTTATGGTGTCAGAACTAGCCTGTTTCATTGAGAATAAGCAAAAAGTTTCATGTTTATTCAGACATGCTTATTTGTATCTGACACCTAAATTCACATCTGAAGAGGAGATTATAGGGACTAGAATTTGGAGGGGGTGAAAATGGATGAAGTACAGGATTGAGAAACACACGCAAGGTCTTTAATTATCGGATTGTTTCAAAATACAGCCTAGTCAAGCATGAATTCTTACTATCTGGTGTAATTTTTAATGGTGCTAATTTTGATGCCATTCATTGTCCAAATATTACTACAGTCAATGGAAAGAACATTGCAAGCTACCTGAAAAGCCTGCTATGATGACAGCTCTACAAATAATAAGGCAAATGCACAGGGAGTGTGAGCAGTAGGAGAAAGAGGATGCTCAGATTAGACAGAATATGTACTTACTTTCTTCAGAACTGATAAGTGAATGCCTTATAATCATGTTTTAATTTCTTCTTCCAGAATCTGGATGCTTTGCATGACCACCTTGCTACTATTTACCCGGGTATGCGAGCCCCTTCCTTTAGGTGCACTGATGCGGAGAAGGGGAAGGGGCTCATTCTGCATTACTATTCGGAAAGAGAAGGTCTTCAGGATATTGTCATTGGAATAATCAAAACAGTAGCTCAACAGATCCACGGTACAGAAATAGATATGAAGGTAATGTCTGAAGGGATGTACACATTGGAAGTTTATGCTAATAGGACAGAATCAAGAAAATAAAAAGTGAAGTTATGGCAAACAATTTTCATTGTTGATGTCCTCTGTGAAGCAGTGGCATCAGTACTGACTCGAGAAGATCCATCATCATTTGTGTTGCTTTAAGGACAGGTCAGCCATGTGCTCAGAAGGCCAGCACTAATTTGCAAACAGACCCAATCAGGAACAGTTCAGAACGATATCCTCTTATTCAAAGAGGGAAGTGACATGTACAGAAATTAGGTACTGGGTTATTTGAGGTGCTTTTTTCCACTTTATTTTATATTCGGCATATATTTCTTATTGTCTGCTGTGTTCTGTGAAAACACAGACATTTTGTCTCTGTGTCCTAGATTCTTCATCTGTGTGCAAACAGCGAGGCTGATGTGCGTTGATGCGGCCTGGCTGGCAAGCAGTGTTTTCCTCCCAGCCTGCGTGCCAGGTCCTTTCCAGAACCAAGATGTGTTTGTGGGCCTTGTACTATCATTGCGTGACAGTGTGGCTGGATATACACCTACCGCCCCAGAAGTGGAAAAATGCTCCTCAGTCACAGAGTTTAGATACTGTCATGTGTGCTAAGTCACTTGTGAAATGAGAAAGAGGCTTCTACTTTGTGTCCCTACAGAGCAATAGAAAGATTAAATTGATCAGGCCTTGCATATGTAATGATACAAAATCAGAGCTTGATCCAAGGTGCAGATATACCTTGAGAAAATCAGCAAATGAAAGCTCTTTCGTGTTAGAAACATTGCAACTGATATAAAATACTTTTCATCGAGGAGAAAAGAATCTAAGCAGGTACAGCAAGCATTCTTTCTTTTCTTTTTAACTATTTCCTAGTCATATTACATTTCTGGCGCAGTTTCATTGTACGCTTACTCAGAAAATCAGTTCCAGTTTCATGAGTGTATCACAAAAACATGGTCTTGCTCAGAAAAGCGATTTACAAGCAATCCAATGGTAAAGGTATTTGTACTTCTATATTGGAGTATTTGCCTTTTAGCTTTCTTGTTAGAAGCTAGCTCAGGTTTATAGTTAAGGGCTAGTTCTGTGTAGTGATGGTGATATACTTGTCCTTGTTCAGATTCTAGTTTGTAGAAATCCATAGTTCAAACTTTTACAGCAGGTGTTAGTAATCAGATATAAAAGGATGCAACAGAATCAAAACAATCCTCTTCTTAAGTCTCTGTTTATTCAAAGCGTTGAGACAGACAAGAAGGACCGTGTTGGAAAGTTGGCTGCAAGAGTGCTGAAGCTGTTGCTTGAAAAGCATTTTGGTAGCACAAACAGCTTACACTGTCCCCCTTTTCTTACTGCTCAAGCTTGTCCTACAACAGCTTCTTCAGCTGTGTCTCTCCAGCTGTTGTCAAGCTATAAAATAAACTAGACTGAGGAAATGAACTGGGTTCAAAATAACAGGGTTTTTTTCTGGGTTATTTTTACCTACATCTGTTCCTTTATGTGGTTTGGTGTTCTGTCTGTTAGAGAGAATTCTGCCACTGTAGTCGAGGGGTCATACAGAGACAAAAGTAATCGGTGGGGCGGAGGAGAAATCTGAGTTGTGCAAAGCAGCTACCAGAACAAACTTTTGACAAACTGTGTCCTCGGTCTGAATGTTACTTTATGAAGAAGGTTGTATTGGACAGTATTGATATCCACCTAGACTTCTCACAAACAGTATATGTTCCAAAGAGGTTTAAATATTGATTCTAAATTTACTTATAATTTTCATTTGACTTTGTTAGGCTTTTCTGGAAATTTGATTGTTGTATTGTAATTAAATAGAAATTTAATAGTATTGGTCAAACTTACTGTAAGCGAGCACAAATTTTAATTTAAATCCAAACTATTCTTCTGGACTGTCTGAGCCAAAAGCACATGGGTGCCTAAAAATTAGTATTACCCCTAAACTGAAGAAGGTGTATATTGTCTGCATTTTATTTTCTGTTACCCTGTTTTTTTGCTTGTCCCTATTAGAAAGTCATGTGCCCTCAACCCTGAACTTTTTCTTCTCTCTGCTGGTTAATAAAGCCTAGCTTTTGACACCTTTAATGACATTAAATAGTGCTTTACTTCACGGGTGCTTACAAACTTCAGTAGTAGATAAGCAGAGAAAAATCAGCTACTTGTTTCTGTAAGGTGAGATTGCCAAAATTTGCAGACACAGACAGTGAAAGTCTCCCTCCATTACTCCATAGGTTAATTATTAATCATTAATGGTATGGAGGGAGGGTTTTAAAGCAGAGTAAGTCTGCCATTGTGGTACTTGACTAGTTTTACACTATTCAAAAAAATGAGAACAGGAAAAAAAAATTGACCTACTTCTTTCGTCTCGATCTCTTGCCTCACAATTTAGTAAATTAATACTTTTGAGTTTCAGGCTGTTAGTAACGCATTGTTTGAAATAGCACAGAAAAACAATGAGGTTGCTTTTCATCCTCTCAGTTTTTGTGGACCAGTCAGTGCTCCTTCTGTAAATTTTTTGGTTTGAACTTTAGTTAGAATTTTGTTTAAGGAAGAATTTTTTGGGGGGACTGATAAGAGCTTCAGTGCCTAGCCCTAAGTTTCTGATGTTGTTATGGGAGTTGACTTCTGACTTGGAAGAACAGAGCTGGGAGTCCTGAGTTGTCCTTCCGAATCTCTTTATCCAAACCATTTTCGTAACAATCCAACACAGGACTGGTTTAGTAAATTCTGAAGTTCTCTTTATACAAGCGTGAAGTTGGTATCTACCATTTGATGTTTAATACTTTATTATCTACTTTTCTTCTCTGGTTGTTTAGAAGAAATGCTTACATAAATCTGCTTGAGGGAATACGTGCTTCTAAGTCTGTATTTTCATGAAATTTTGCTTGAATTTGTCTTACATATTACCAGTTTCTGTGAAGGTGGTAGCAGATCTTCATCATTTACAATAATACTGTTCTCATTTTGTTAAGTGGTTAGATTTTGTTTCACACACAGTCATAGAATGACAGAGGTTGGAAGGGACCTCTGGAGGGCATTTTGTCCAACGCCCCTTGCTCAGGCAGAGCCACCTAGAGCCAGTTGCTCAGCTCTGTGCTCAGCTTCCAGCTGTCTCTAGGGATGGAGACTCTGCAAACTCTTTGGACAACGGGTGCTAACCCTCAGTCCCCTTCACAGTAGAAAAGTGTTCCTGATGTTCAGACAGAACCTCTTGTGTTTCAGTTTGTGCCCATTGCCTCTTGTCCTGGCACTGGGCACCGCTGAAGAGAGCCTGGCTCCGTTCTCTATGCACCCTCCCTTCAGGTGTTTGTACACATAGATGAGATCTTCCTGAGCCTTCTCTTGTCCAGGCTGAACAGTGCCAGCTATCTCAGCCTTTGCTCTTATGAGAGATGCTCCAGTGCCTCAGTCGTCTTAGAGGTCCTTCACTGGACTCTCTCCAGTAGCTCCATATCTCTCTTGTACTGAGGAGCCCACAACAGGACACAGTACTCCAGGTGTGGCCTCTCCAGCGCTGAGTAGAGGGGAAGGATCGCCACCCTCGACCTGTAGAGCAAACCTGAGGAATCTCATGATCACAAGAGGAAAAATAAATATTGAGAAAAACATATTGTTCTTGGTTTGGGTGGAGAAATAGCTAAATAGAAAAAAAAATGTTTCATTTTATCACCTTTCTGCAGTTTCACACAGAACTATTTTATATATGCATATATATACACACACATACATACGTGTTCTTCTGAAATACACTAGGGCTTCCTTTTTCCAGAATGGTGTCTTTCAGGAAATGTGCCTTTTTTTTAACACCTATATGTGTGTGCTGAAGGCAAGAAATAAAGAAGTCTCAGTTTGTCTCTGGCAAACTCTGTTAGCACTGAAAGGAAGGCAGTTTGTTCTGAACTTGGATTCACAGTTCCAGTTGAAGAGTTAGGAAAGCCTAGGTTGACAGTAACTGATTGATTAGTTCAAATCCAATTTGCCTTATCTTCCCTGATATGGTAACCCATTTTTAGCTAAATAGAGCTAAGACTATGTAATTTTTGCCACAGGTATTGTCCCAAGAATAGTTGCTGACTTTGAGAACATGCTAAGAATATTTAAGTTCTGCCAGTCTCAGTAGGAGAACTTAAAATCTTCATGGTGCTGGTGACCAGCTTTGGCATGAGATCTCTGTTAGCAGCCTTCTGGCTATGCCTTCTCTTGCTTCACTTGTCAGAGGTTGTTTGTGTATAAATGAGAGTGACCTGTGACGGTGCCATCGGGACAGGGATTCCCTCAAGGCTACAGATGGTACGGGTCAATGAAGAATGTTGTACAATCCTACAAAGCCCCAAAATCTGTTGGGAAAACAGACTTCTGCAATTCTGTTATCTGAGAGCAGACTATCAAAATCTTTCTTTTACACAGGGAAGGTGGTTTACAATATAAAATGAGAAAAGACCAGAGGAAATCCTTGACAAGATGGTAATTTCAGACTGTCTCATTACTAATAGCAATATAAAAAACAAAGCCAGAATGTGACCAGCTGGAGAGCTGACCTAAAAACTACTTAGGTACTTGTCATGGAGGACAAGCAGTACTGATCCGCACGTTAAAATGCTAGCTGTGTATGAAGATAAATCAACTGTGGAGCATAATCAACCTCTAATTCTGACACAAAGGCAGCCAGAAACTTCACTAGCTCCAGACTTGGAGGTTCGGTGCAGTGAGACAGTCTGTGTTGAAACCAGCTGCCAGGTGGAGACATCCCTGCAGTTTTAACTTCGGGTGTGCAAAGCTAAGAGGGGTACCATTTCCACAGTGAACTGCTTTGCTTCAGGATCACCCTGAAGCTGCAGTGAAATTTGTCAAGTAGCATTGCATGGTAGATTGACCTTTAAATGGCAAAAGCCTGATTTGTATTAATCTTCACAATCTGATGGACAAAGATCTCTGTCCAAGGGCATTCTGTCCCTCCCCCATGCTGAGATATGAGTGTATCTTGGAGACATGCTCATATCTAGAGAATTGGGTCTTGTCTTTTAGCTACATCAGTGAAAGTTTAACAGATAGCATGTGTTCATTATACATGCTATATCACGGTGATACTGCTTGATTTAATATCTTGTGTGAAGCGCACCAAATATATTAAACCACAAATTCCTTTTAAAATAACTGTTCTCTGAATTGTCCTCCCCTGAAATATTGGTGTGACTTCTCACTTGGCTAAGCAAAGACAAGCTTTGAAGATACATCTTCTGGAAGCCACAGGCAGGTTAGCAGATAGATGTTATATATTCTCTTTGAAACCAGGAGAGTGATTTTTCTCTTCAGTTTTTAACTGCAGTTACTATGGTGATTGAGCTTTTAGACATGGTGCACTGATGTCACTTCACCAGCTAAGACTGCAGGGGGGGAAGAATTAGACTTGATTCCTGGCTTTGTTGCTTCTGTCACTTAGCTTTCATTTGTCAAGCATTTAACAGAGGCTTCTTCAAAAATATTTAAATGATACTGAAATTCTGTGGCTTGCAAACTTCGCTTGCAGTATGGAACAATAGATAAGTTCTGTTCTAGTTAATCTTACTGCAGATTATCTAGACCAGATCTTTATGTCAGATAAGTATCTGGCCAATTAGGTTGAATCTGTAGGTACAAGGGTGAAGGGACAGAATTTAACATATTATGTCAATGGCCAGAACTGCTCATTTTAAATTTGCTGACAAGGTGGATGAAATTGTGAGAATGGAAGATTCGATAGTGCGTAAATGATGTGAGCAGGAAAGACATCATGAAATTACATATCCAATGGGAAGTTATTTAAGAATGAATCAGTAGCTTGCTTAGCCTGGAGAGGGGTATGATTGTAGCTTCTGTGCATGCATGACCAGAATCAAATTTAGTAAACCAGCTGTGTCCACAGCATATCAGGTTTACCAGGAGCATGTAGGTGGTGGTGTGGCTATCTTGTAGATGTGACACATTTCCATGTGTTTGGCCTGTTGCTCATTCGCTGCACTAATGTGATGCACTAGTGCAGCAAGCATTTCTAGATGCCCTGGATTCTGCTCAAAACTAGTGTTGCAAATGAACTTGAAGATGCCTGGGTAGTTTGCTGCTTTGCACTGTTACTGACACAGTTCTAATCCATAAAGTTTAGGAAAGTAGCACATCGTGTGAGATGACTGACTTCATCACTGTGTAAGCGTGTAGGATCTGTGGAGGGTTGAGTCTCAAACTTAGCTAGATGTCTTGAAGCATGTAGCAGTTCTATTTTTATAGGTGTTTTTTTTAACCATCACTTGAGTTTTGTTTATTGATGCATCATTCATTTCTAATAAATGGAAAAAAATGGCAGGTTATGAAAAATATGTTAGTTGCTGCATGGTACTAGAAAAAAACCTGTAAGTACAGTTGCAGGCTGGTAAGAGAATACTAGTCTGCAGTGACTAAGATGGTCATCAGGTGATAATATTAATATTTCTGGAAGGTGATGTGCTGTTAATATGAACATTTCCTTAAAAAGTGTTAGATCTTTAAAAATTAATTTTAGGACAGCTTTGCCAAATGAAGAAGCTTTTCATCCAAAGTATGCTTTTTTTTTTCCTCCACAAATTGTGTCAAGAGCAACTCTTTGAAGTAAGATCCAAGACTGGAAATTATCTGGAAGCATAGATCAATTCTAGTGATAATTCTACACAATGTGAAAAAGGTTACTGTGTGTAATCTCAGCTATCCTTGGACCAAATAATAGTAATAATAAAATAAAACCTTGTGGGAGTGATAGAAAGTAAGAACTAAGACTGTAACTGTGTTCTGTCAATCCTCAGTATGGCCGCAGTCCCTCACAATTTCAGGGATAATGATTTAAAAGAAGAGGAAGACATGGAGAAACTTTAAACCCTGAATTCAGAGGAGAACTAGGTCTCCATCTAGTATGTTCTATTTTCCTAGACAAACCCACATAACTTGTTTTCCTTAAGTGACCACCACATAGTCTTTCCAAGGTTTCTCTCTTATTAACTAGTAATTTCCCACTTCTCTTTGCCACGCACTGCCATATGGATTACCAACACAGTTTCTTGAGGAAATTCGGTTTTATCATCATTAACACGTGAAGTTGTTCATACATACAGCTTTAGGTACCTACATTAGCTGGTAAAATTAGTAGGCAGATCTTTCTCTAAGTTACTTACGTGTGCAATAGAAAGAGAAGTCTAATGCAGCACGTGGTATAAAGCACCTAAATCAGACTCCTGCTCTGAACTGTCCTCCAGAAAAGCCTCTCTTTCCTTTAAATGAATTGTGAAACAGGAGATCAAGGAACACTACCTTCTTAAATTAAGCATTATTTAGCAGTAAAATATTGTTTTGTTGTTTTGCACTCCTCCATTTTTATAGGAACAGATAAAGGAATCAGCACTCCCCAACCGATCAGCTAACATGGCTGACAGTTGTGGATGAGAAATATTTAATAAACTAAATATAGTAGGGATCAAGTGCAGTGTTTGTGCATATCTGTTTTGTTTTCATATTGTAACTGTTAATCTCTGTGGTTAGACTATGTGTAAAGGGCAGAATCAGGATGCATTAGAGATTGTAAGAATTCTTTTTTTGCTTCGGTGGCTTTAAGATCAGACTCTACATGAAAGTAGAATCAGGTGCAACATGTTCCAGAAAGTTGCTGCTAAACAATACTGTGTAAATAGAATTGTTCTGTTCCAGTCATTAAATCTAATTAGGCTTGAGAAGAGGTGAATTTGGCCTCTCAAAGTAAATTAAGTTATTCTATTAGTTTTAATTATACTGCGATACATGATTCTCACTGCAAACAAAATAATCCCTATTAATTTCATATTTGTACTAACTTTGAGTAAAATTACTGAAGTGTGAAATGCTATATTCAAAACACTTACTTGAGACTCGACTGATGTAGATGACTCTGGTTTTGTTATGATTTTGTTTAATATGGAATGCAGCTTGGAGAAGATTGTCATTGCTTTTAGTTTTCTCTGTTGGTCCTGATCTTGCAGTCATCACTGCTTGAATGTGTAAGGATTGAATATTCAAACATCTGCTCCATCCACCTTCCTTCTGGCTGACTGAAATGCCCATCCTCTGGTCAGCACTGTTTGCTGTTGTGTTATAGACCTTCCAAACAGCTTTCATCAAAATAAAGATTCAAGTGGTCTGTGTAATTCAAGACTTGCCACATGTTCATTCAAGAGGAGAGGAAAGTCCTGTTTTCTGGCACGTACCAATAAAAGCAAACATAACCTGAGCCTTGACCCCTGATTTCAGGACATGCATTTCACTCAGGCTTTATAAATTATATTTGAGTGATCTTCGATATGTTGTTCATGCAAAGAGCAACTGTGGCTAAGCAAAGCCATATTTAGTCACCTGGAATTATAAAGACTTTCTAAAATCAGAAATAATACTTATTATAATATAATACTTTTCAAGATGCAAATATAATTTCTGAATTCATCTTTCTGCTCTAAATATATTCCTTTCTTCATAGTGGCATTCCAGCTATTAATAAGTAGCAGAGTTTCCAATGTTTCTTTTTTTCCTTCATTTTTCTAGGTTATTCAACAGAGAAATGAGGAATGTGACCATATTCAGTTTTTAATCGAAGAGAAAGAGTCTAAAGAAGAGGACTACTATGAAGACCTTGACAGATTTGAAGAAAACGGTACCCAAGAGTCTCGCATCAGTCCCTATACTTTCTGCAAGGCTTTTCCTTTCCACATAATATTTGACAGAGATCTGGTGGTCACACAGTGCGGCAATGCTATATACAGAGTCCTTCCACAGGTTAGATGATTCTCATACATGAATAATCATAGAGATCCCTAATGCTAGATGCTTCACAGGTTTCTTTTAAAGATGAATAAAATAGATTTAGGATTCTCTGTTTAAAAAGCATTCTTGTGTAACTGTGTAATATGTACTACATTGTGCTCATCTTGTTTGAAAAAGGACTGTGAAAATAGCCCTAATTCTGCAACAGCTTTGTTTGTTATCATCAAGTCTGTGTGCCGTAAGAGAATAAGCTTGAGCAGAGAAAACCTGATCACCTCCATAGTCTAGGTGTTAGCTTGATACCTGATTCTTTCTTGTAACTCAGTCTGAAATATTGCTATGAAGGTGGCAGATAATTCTTTGAAGTGGATGTGAGACAGTCAGTGCAACTTGGCCTGGGATTCAGGAAATGGTCTTGCCCATACTACTGTGTAGTGTAGCAGCAGGTATATAGTCTATACATATTACTTGGCAGTAATGTCTTCAAATACTTAAGCTGTCAGATGCACAATAACTGAAATGCAGAATAACAGAAGTAGTATACTTGGCTTGCACATCAAAAGCTTCAGTATTAACTGAGATGACCCAAACTATTTTTGTGACAAATACATATGTGAGTGTGTTCTGAACTTAATGCCACTGCTGCAATTTCCTCTTGCTATTTACAGTAAAAGAGTACTCAGAGGTCCATTTAAAATTATGTATTCTGTATATGAGTAGGATACCTCAGTTCTTGCCTGAAAGAGCTGACAGTGTTTCTAAAAGTAAGCAACAGGTAAAAGCAGTAATATGAGAGAAGCAGAAGGTAGGATGATTAAAGCATCAAATGAACTTTACAATTATGTAGGCTAATGTTGCACATACCATGTTGTTTTTGAATCATTGACATACTTTTAAAATGCAATTTTATGTTACTTGCTTTTTGCTGCAATTTTGGTTTTGGTGGTTTCACTCTGAATTTTGGAGAAAGATTTGTAAGAGCTTTAGAAGTAGATCTGCCAGATTTTTCCCAAGGACATTCACTGAACAGCTATAACTACTCAGCCTACTGAGGATGTCTATCAGAATCATTATTATCAGAGTTGATGCTTTAGAGAACACAGCTTATTGAAAAGGGAATTTGAAGGAGGTCACTTAGGAGGAGAACACTGGAAAGCTATTTTACTGTAGAGTGGGAACGGTTTGACAGATAACAAATGTGGTCTAACACAATTTTGCAAAGTCATCTTACAGACTAGACTTTCACTTTGAAGTCAGTATACTTCTGATGTAAAATCCTTAATTTAAAACCCTTGTGTTTTAATGGAGAAACGCATAAAGTGTATATTCTCTCCCATTCCGTTTTGTCATCTAGGCAAATTGCATATAATTACTTCCTGTATATTTTTAGTATAGAACATAACAATCTTTTTTTTTTTTTTTTTTTAATTCTAGCTGCAGCCAGGAAATTGCAGTCTGTTGTCAGTTTTCTCTTTGGTCCGGCCTCATATTGATATTAGTTTCCATGGGATCCTCTCACATATCAATACAGTCTTTGTACTGCGGACCAAGGTAACTAGAGAATATTCACGGGGTTTTTCTCTAAGTAAGTATGCTTTGGAGAGATAAGAAGTGCTGAAACCTCAGAAGTCTTCAGAGAAAATTCTTTGCACAGTAATAAGCTCCATCCCTTTTGAGTCCTGAGCCAAGAAAAAGTCACTGCTGTGAATTCATGTGTAGCTGTTAAGTAGAATGCTTTATAGGAATGGTGAAGTACATATACTTCATGTCTGATGCTTTCTTTGTAAGGGACCAACCCATTACATGGTATTGTACCAAAGTAAATGTAGAAAGGCAATTAAATTTACTTTTACTTCATAACAGTGTGGGAGACAAATATAAAATGTGTTCTTGCTTGGGCGCACATGTTCATATAGAGTTCTGTGTCCTTTTCTCTAGAGAGGGCAGGAGAGGAGGCAGGTGATACAAATGAATGCAGCATGTAGAGTAGCATCTCCTATATCAAGGAGCCTGTTTATTTATAGAAAACCGGATCTGAGTAAAACCAACAAGATTTCTTAGGAATGCTACCGGGCACAAATAGAACTCATAGAATAGGCAATACTTTTGTCAAACTATTGTTAAGAAGTTGTACAGAAGAAAACAAGAACTTATGAAGATGAACGTAAAGAGGGATACCATGCTTTGTATCTTTGAGGTAGCAAATCACAGTATTAAAATAAAGGTAGTGTACGGTGTTCAAATGAGAAAGTAATTGGGTTGTAGTGTAATCTGTAAATCTATTCCAAACATTTTGACTTACCTTCATAGTGAAGGCACTTATGTGCGTGCCGGCCTGGTGCGTAACACATGTACTATATAACTGTGACTTTTTGTCACCAGGAGGGACTGTTGGATGTGGAAAAGCTGGAGTGTGAAGATGAACTGACTGGCACAGAAATCAGCTGCTTACGCCTGAAAGGGCAAATGATCTACTTGCCTGAAGCAGACAGCATTCTCTTTCTTTGTTCACCAAGGTACTTTAAACCTTAAGAGTTCCATAATATTGATTTTCATTTTACAATTACTAATTTTAAGAACACTGTGAGAATAGTACTACAGAGATTAATTGGCTCAAGTACTGATTTCATCAATTTTGATGTGTTTATGATAAAAGAGGGAGGAGCGCTTAAACATCAGAACTTGACTGATTATGAAATAATTCAATATAAACATTGGGATGCTCTGGTCCAGTTTGTACAAATGGGAATTCCTCATGATTACATGATTTTTGGCAAGTCTTCTTTTTTGTTTCTTACTCTGAGAATGCTAAGAAATGTTACAATGATTTTGTTTCCTATGTGGGTTCATATATTTTTGCAGTAGTTTTAACATAATAGAGCAGTGATGATTAGAAAGAAGTGGTTGGGATGGGGGATTGAGTGGAGGGTTTCGTTAGCTAAAAGCATGTTGAGCTAACACACCAGGTTACAGTTATGATACGTTAATCGCCTGTGTAAAAGGGAGACAGCAGTGAAGACAAAAAGAGAAGAGGCTACCTTAATGTAATCTCGCTTTTATTTGTATACTGAAGAACGTGCATTTAATATGTTCATGGAACTTGTCAATGAGAATTCTGTATCGAGATGCAAAAATCAAGAGCTGTGTGTTAATACGAATGAACACAAATAAGGTATTTTGTAGAAGGGACGTGTTGTACAACTCATCAGAAGTTCAAGAGCATAATCTTTCTTCTGTTATTCCACAGCCTTTGCTGTTCATTTGAGTGCTCCTTTGGCAAGTTTAATAGTACCCATATTATTATATATTTCTCCACATTGCAGTGTGATGAACTTGGATGATTTAACCAGAAGAGGTTTATATCTGAGTGATATTCCATTGCATGATGCTACCCGTGATCTGGTTCTTTTGGGAGAGCAGTTCAGAGAGGAATATAAACTGACACAAGAGCTTGAGATCCTCACTGACAGACTGCAGCATACACTGCGTGCACTGGAAGATGAAAAGAAAAAGACAGACACGTAAGAACCAAATCCTGATTTTGAGCTGAAACAGTCACAACAATATATTATTTATAGCTGCCTTTTTCAAAAAATAACAGAATCTTGGAAGCAATATAAAAGATATTCAGGGCTGATAATTTTGGAGTCAAGAAAGAGCATCATACTTTAATGCCTTATGGAGCATTTCTTTATTTAGATTGTCAAATGTCATCTGCAGTCTAGGCAATTAAATGCACAGGTATTTTGATGGCTCCTTCCCTGAAAAGGAAAGTTATGAGAAGCGAACTGACAATCCTTTTTTGCTTTGTGAATTACCGAAACCAGTAGCTTTGTAAACTCTCTTACATGCAGTCCCTGTAGCCAAGATGAATTTGATGAATGCCCAAATGCTACTATTTGACAGAGTTCTGTAAACCAGCTGTAGACCACTTTGTCTTTCTGGACCTCCATGCTCACAGGTTAATAGAACAGAAAAACATATCTTATAATTCTTAAAAACAGTCTATGTAAAGATGAACTTTGGAAACAGGTTAATGCTATGAATTTGATTTTATAGTTACCTGTAGAAATCGATTTGAGCCTATCTAGATAATACTGCTATCTAGATATAAGTACATAACAATAATAAAGTATATGCATTGGGCCCCAAATCTATTTCTGCAGGTAACTATACAATCAAATTCATAGCATTAGTCCATGGCAGCTCAGCTCAAGGACTACTGTCAAGTAAATGAAACAAAAGTCTGTGTGACAAGCAGTGTGGTTGACTTTTGTTTATAAAACATAGTTCCCAACTCCATAATAGAAGAATCTCCTGTGGATTATGCTTATTTAGTAGTAGAATTAACACTATGATCACTATTAACACTATGTTGTGCTACAAATTCTATTGACAGATTTTTTTTTCTGTAGTAGAGTAATGAAAATTATTGTAAAAAGACTTGAAAGGGATGGACGGAAGAGTCAGTGAGAAAAGAAGCCTAACATTTTTGTTTTCTATTCGTTCCTGTTGACTTGCTTTATAAAGTCATTTTATCTTCAGGAATTCTAACCTTCTTGGCAGCCACTAGAACAGACAGTGTCAGTTACTATACCATGTGCCAAAAGTATTCACTGATGATAACTCATGCAGTAGCAAACTTGCCTAAAATGCAGCTAGTGGAAGTTTGGGCAGGAGCGGTGTACAAAATGATGCTCAAGATTTGTGAAACAGTCAGAGATCTTCAGCTTGCCCACTTAGCTGTGTGAGGAGGGAAATACACCTTAAGATGGCACGTAGAAAGTAGAATGAATACACCATGAGAGTAGGGTGAAGCTCTGTGTGTGTGATTTGGGGTTTATTTGCATAATTTGTAGTAACAGCAAGTGTTAATGTGTCATGTAGACTATTAATTAAAAAAAAATAGGCAATAAACCCTAAAAGCAACATTCTCAACAGAAAGGAAGCATTTAGCAATGCATGAATTGATCAAAGGGGGAAAACTGTTTGATCTCTTCATGGCCTTTTCTGCAGTTTTTTATGGTTCTGTGAGCAAAACCAGATTATATGAGCTGAGGATATGGCAGAAATGCTTAAGCAATAAGCAAAAATGATCCAAGACACTGTTAACAGGTCATGTCAGAAGAATTAATTATTACACCTAAAATGTCTCATTTTGGTAGCAATTTAGGTGTAATAATATGTGTTTGAAATGTCATGGCTTTAGGTATGCTGATGTAGATCAGTTCCTGTTTCCCAAATAACATATTCTTCAGTAAATGTCTTTTATATCGGTCTTTGATGATGCGACTATGTTATAAACACTATATTTGAAGAGTGCTGATGTAAAGATCATTCTCAACATTCTTTCTGTTTTGCTTGTGCCTTTCTTTTCTTACACTTGTAGATTACTGTACTCTGTTCTACCACCATCAGTGGCAAATGAGCTGAGACACAAGCGTCCTGTTCCAGCTAAGCGGTATGACAATGTCACCATTCTTTTCAGTGGCATTGTTGGATTCAATGCCTTTTGTAGTAAACATGCCTCTGGAGAGGGAGCCATGAAGATTGTTAATCTTTTAAATGATCTTTACACGAGATTTGATATTCTGACTGATTCACGAAGGAATCCATTTGTTTACAAGGTAAGCAAAAGATTTTCCAAGTATTTAATCTGTGGTTTTTCGATAATTTACTATCATGTCACTCTTTTCCAACCTTTGGATTTTAGGCTTTTTTAAAAAAATGGTTAAGTTCTCAGTCTTTGAACTGTGTTACCTAGTATTACATAGCTAAAGAAGAGTATGTTGTTTATCTCTAAATGTGTGAAGGAACATAAAGGTCTTAGTTCTCAGCAGGATTTCTGCACAGTCAGCCACTAGGTGGATATATAAATCTACTTTCACAATTAGCAGATGTGAACACTTATACAAGCAGTTTGTGGTTCTGCTAACCCTGTGCTTTAAGTGTTTCAGTCATATACCTGAGTCTCCTGGTTGTAAATTATAAATTATTATTCTGTTATTCAATGTGAATTTCATTTCTTCATTAGGAATGAGGTGTAGTTGCAGACACAGGTGGTAGTAGGTAGATAGGTGTGTGTATATATATCTCTCTCCCATATATACATACGTGTGGTACACGTGTGTTTATATGTATAAGTTTCATACTTAGCTTTTACTAGAAATCAACAAATACTAGAAATCCTGTATCAAGTGAACCAAGGGTGTGAGTCAAAACAAACATAGTGCTCGGTTTCTACAGAATTCCAGAAGACTGCAAAAGAAAGCCTCCAGTTCGCACAATCAAAGTGTCATTTTAATTTGTTACATTGTTAGCGTATAATAATTTTCTTCAATAATAAGCAGAGATGATGGAAATTGGGGCAATTTGAATGAAAGTGAAGGGAAACTGTTAGAAAGAATAAGGAGTCTTGAAAGAAGCACTATGTCCATACTAGTACTCTAAAGGCCATGATAATAACGTAATTGAGAAATATATATCTTGATAGGTGGAAACAGTTGGGGACAAGTATATGACAGTGAGTGGTCTACCAGAGCCCTGCATTCATCATGCACGATCTATCTGCCACCTGGCATTGGATATGATGGAAATAGCAGGCCAAGTTCAAGTAGATGGTGAGCCTGTACAGGTTAGTAATTGTGTGGGCTTGAATGAAGAGCCCGTTCTTTGACATGATGATGATGCTTTGAAATATGACAATGCTCAAGTCCCACTCCATGCAAGCTTTGTTATTGTTAATTTTTGAGATAGATATCTACAAATAATATGAAGAGTGACATGCAGAAGTGACGTGCAGTTCCCAGACCTTGAAATCTAATTATTGTGCTTAAACTTTAAAGGACTAAATTAGGTCCACAGCATTTATGTCTGTTTTCTGATTGTTTCAATCTAATCAACAAATCCTATTCCACATCAAGTACAATTCATTGAGTCTTCTTCATCTCAACGAACAGAACAATAGTATTTCCTCACTGATATTTTTGATCATGCTTCAGATATATATGTCAGTATGAGAAAATATTGCGTTAAAAAGAAAAGCGCATTTCCATATGCAGTTATGGCAGTGATTACTGTCAACAATATATATTAGTGGAAGTTCACTAATTGTGGAATTTTATGAAGATGTTGTGGCATTAGTACAGAACTGGGGAGGCTACATTGACCTATTTTCATCAGAAGGCTGTGAGAGCAAAATAAGTAATGAATGTGATACATATTTCTATTTACGTTAGTGTTATTGGTCTAACACCTAGCTTAGATCTGTATACTTCACTGTCACTGGGCAAAGAAGTGAGAAGGTTTGATTTGGGGCTTTATAATAACTGTAATGTGCTATAGGAGCGAGCTTCTCCAAACCCATATCTCTTGAGCTTTTAAATGCAAAATACCATGATGTTTCCTCTGAGAAACGTCTTTATTTCTTGACCTACACCATCCATTTCTGCATCTTCTGACCACTCATTAAACACAGACCTGCAGAGTATGCCTCTCTTTTTGCTTTTTTAAATTTCACAGTACATAATCATAGAATCATAGAATGGTTAGAGTTGGAAGGAACCTTAAAGGTCATCTAGTTTCAAACCCCCTGCCAGGGGCAGGGACACCTTCCACTAGACCAGGTTGCTCAAGGCCCCATCCAGCCTGGCCTTGATCACCTCCAGAAATGGGACATCTACCACCTCTCTGGGCAATCTCTTCCAGTGTCTCACCACCCTTAGAGTAAAGACTTTCTTCCTAATATCTAATCTAAATCTACCCTCTTTCAGTCTAAAACTGTTCCCCCTCGTCCTATCACTACACTCCCAAATAAAGAGTCCCTCCCCATCTTTCCTGTATGTCCCCTTTAGGTACTGGAAGGCTGCTATAAGGTCTCTCTGGATCCTTCTCTTCTCCAGACTGAACAACCCCAACTCTTTCAGCCTGTTTTCATAGGAGAGGTGCTCCAGCCCTTTAAAAGCAGCATGGCATGGTGCATGCTGGAAAAATACGGAGTTTGTTCTTTCATGTGGGAGGCAAAGACATGACACTGCACTACAATAAAAAAAAGTGATACAAAACACAAAATGCGAAACACAAAAGTCTTTGGAGAAGCAGTAGCACATTAAAAAAATAAACTCTAGTAGGTAGAAATGGCACAATACCTGTATTTAGTCAGAAGCATCAGATTAGTTATGTTTATTTTGAATATTCAAACTTTATTTTTTCTCTCTAAAGATAACAATAGGAATCCATACTGGTGAGGTAGTCACAGGTGTCATAGGCCAAAGGATGCCACGTTACTGTCTCTTTGGAAATACTGTAAATCTAACAAGCAGAACAGAAACTACTGGAGAAAAGGGAAAGATCAATGTCTCTGAATATACTTACAGGTGAGTGAAGCAGTATTGCTATTGGTGTTGACATCTTAAAAGAAATCACTTTATCAGCATAACATCAAAGTTTCTTTGGAGTTGAAAGTGACAGGACTCCCACAACGCATTATTTAAGTACATGAGTTCTCATGAAACTCTATGGCAGACTGCATTATGATATACCGTTATTGGTATGCACATATAATAATGATTTAGAGATATATTCGACTCTTTTGTTAATTTGCTAACATATCTGTAGCATGTTTAATATTTTATATAGTCCATGGCGTGCGTGCATAGTACATATATTTACATGTTTTCTCTTTCCATTTCAGGTGTCTCATGACACCAGAAAATTCAGATCCTCAGTTCCACCTGGAGTACAGGGGTCCAGTTTCTATGAAGGGTAAAAAAGAACCAATGCAGGTTTGGTTTTTGTCCAGAAAGAGTACAGAGACAGAGGTATGACTAACCAGAGTGTAATTTTTTTTTTTAAACAAGGCATAAACATGACAAATTTAATCTAAACCACTGAGATCCATTTGCATTTGCAAAACTAAATGTTCCCTAGAAAAAATGAAGAGTTTTGTACAACACTATTTCATTAATGTGTTTACTATCTTGACAGCACATTAAAGTCCCTGATTATTTGTCTTTGCAGTTTGTGCAGTCCCTGAAAGAATACTTTTGTATTTTAAAAAGTCCTTGAGGGAATGCCAAGTGTTTAAATATTTGTATCTCCCTCTTCTTACGGATTTCGCCACTGAACTAGATTTTGCAATATAATGTCCGTTTCTGTTTAGCTGACGTGTCTGGTTATCAGCACTTCAAAATTCACCATTTGCTTTCTTACAGTGAGTGAATAAATGTGCCTTCAAATATTTAGGCAACAGTCCAGCAACAACTTGCAGGCAGGTTCACACCTGATGTGTATGGTGGTCTGTTAACCCCAGATGGATCTGCTTATTTGGAGACTGTTGCATGATAGAGATCTTGCTTTAGAAATATGCAGGGTGAAAACTATTTCTTCTAAATGGCATATGAGCCTAAATCCTCTTCTCAAAATGATGTAGGATAAAGCTCTTAAAGTACTGAGTGGTCTTTAAGCTTATGCCTCAATTTCAGAAGTCTGGGCACGTATTAGCCAAAATCTCATTAAAAGCCGATGAGATCTAGACTCATAAGTGCGCTGCAAACTTAGACACTTAATAAGGTTACAGTATGCCAGCTGATTTGCCATAGCTAAGCAGGTGCATACATTCCACTCATTGCCAAATGGAGAAAAAAAGGGTAAAAGTAATTTACATAGCTTGAATTTTGTCCCAAAGTAGTACAAAAAGAAAGAGTTTTAAGCTAATACATTTAATCTTAAAAGTACACTTTACTAAAATAATGAAAGTCATAAGTTACCTTGGCTGAAATAAGTCTTGTAAGTCACAGGAAATTAATTATGCATCTGAATATTCACGTGCTTCTGGAAATGAAATTTAGGCTGTTAAACTGTTTGGGCTCTTTTGGAGATCTAATCCAGATTTGTTACCACTGGTACCCAAGTATATGAATACTGACTTTTTAATGGTAACTCCCAGTATTAACCCCCAGTATTAAACTTCAGGGGAGAGCCTGTACTTTAACTCTGCTGAAGTCTGTATTTTAGTATGTATTATTTACAATAATATTCTGGGTGCCACTTTTGATAATACTTTTCTTTTTATTCTATATCAAGATTAATTATAATTTCACATGGCTACCATTCTTTCAAATCCATAGTTGTATTTAAAATACGTTTTAATTAAATACCTTTAAGTTTTTTCTGCATTATAAATTATGTCCCATCATTTGTAGCAGAGCACATTGTAATTTTAAATGTAAAATTTCAGAGGGGTACTGAATCAGGTGGATATTTTCCTTGTTTCAGCCTCACACATGTTTAATATGCATATAGGGTTCACATAGTTTAGAATTTTAAATATTGCAATTTCCTTTTAGACTTCTTGTACAACAGTTGGTTTTAATCCTTATAGCAGTCCTGAGAGGTACTTGCTGATGCTATTATCTAGTGATTGAGCTTTGTAGAGGGGCATATAGGGGCAGGAATAAACCTGACAGAAAAATACTGTCAACCTGATTTTCAGGAGCCCTTAAGACTCACAGTTTAAACCCGCTCAAAAAGTGTCTCTAATTTTTCTTAGTTTTTGTTGATTCTGAAATTCAGATGTACATGTAATTCTTATAGCTAGAAGGACTTCTCCCACCACAGGCGTGTCTTCTAAATGATAGTAAATTTGGGATAATAGGAGACTAGAAAGATACATTACTGTGGGGATTGGAACTGATAATAATTTTGTCAGAGGTGATTTTGAAAAGTGAAAGAGTATAATCCTCTGGTATTTTAATTCTTTTTCACTCCCTGCACAATTTCATCTGTCCATACACAAAACAATGCACTGAGTTTTACTCCTTTAAGATTTTCTGAACTGTTTGTGGTTTCTCTTTGTCTTGCAAAGGTACTTCATGTTATTTCTGCACTTTATAGGCTGTACGTAATAGTTGTAATCCAAAAGCAGAAATCAGATGACCAACTTTTTATGTTTGATTACCTTAGAGTAAGCGCTGTGCTGTAGGCAAGGGTGGAGCATTGGTTTTCTTTCCAGAATCTTATTCTCTCTGAACTTTCAAACACATACACATGCTAATGTATTATCATGTGCAGTGCCCTTAATTTCAGGGTGACTGTTCACAACCATAAATGTGGCATGTTAACATACATTCAGAAACGATCTGGTAAATTTCCTGAAAGGTCGCTCCAGAATATTGCAAGAAGTGGCTTATAGAAGTAAACATGAAAACATTTCTTAAATCATCCTGAAGATACTCCTGCTGATTATTCTTTTACTGTGAAGTTTTCTACCTGCAGTATCTTTAAATCTAGGCTAGATTCCCAGTAGCGATATATTCTCCTTTTCATTATATCTCTTAGAGAGTGCTTAACTCAGCATTTGCAAATCTATCAGCATAATATTTTACCCTGAAGCCCAGTAATAAATATGTGGTGAGGAAAGAGGACAAAATATTTACAGCTGGCATAGAGATGTCAAACCAAGGCTTAAAATATGCTGTCTCTCTGCTAGGCCTGTAGAGAATTAAAGGGTTGGAGCAGCTCAGCATACCTCAAACTTGGTTCCTCAGTTGGCATCTCTAATATCAGTCACCATGAGCAGTAGTTCTGAGAAAGACCTGATTTGCAAGAATCAGTGTTGGTTTGGAGTGCTGCTCCTTTACATTTTTCCACTTAAGATATCTCTTCCATGATATCATTACAGCAAAAATTAGAATTGCATCAGAAATATGCATAGAGCAAAAGCAACTGTGACCAATTATTCATTTTGCATCTGCTTGTTTGCATGTTGTAAGATTAGTTATTACTATCTTTATTATTTTAAGAGAGGTTCATCTGCATCTTCTCTCTTGAGAGACAGATTTGTTGTAAAAAATAAAGCTTGCAGAGAACCTCAAATGTCTGACTGCAATTTCCATCATTCCCCTTTCAAATACCTTTCTCTTCTGCCCTGTCCCCACATTACTGATGGGAATAAGTTAAAGTATCTCAGTCAGAGCTGGTAGCTCATCAGGGAATGTAGGAACTTCATAGTTCCTACATACGACGCATACAAAAAAAAAAAAAAACGTGCGTTACCTATGCTGTGTTTTATTATTTTTGTTATATACTGATATTGGTTGCAAGTTGTAAAATGTATTTTGTCACTGCATTGACCCACCATGTTGTTGCTTCAAAGAAAATACCTTACGTCTCAAATTCTACTTGCATGCACTCAAGGAAACAAAGCAAGATGCTTTCTGAGCTGAGGGAAGAGGAAGAGGACGCTGGATAGGGTGCAATACTGTCTCCAAATAGGGTGCCAGGCAGTAAGGTTGGGTTATGGATGTTATTTCACGTCATATCTCCCATTGCCATGTGCAGTACCACTGTCTTTTGCCCTACTCCTTAAATCATACTTACCATTTTTCTTCAGGCTCGCTTGCTTTTTTCTTTTTTTTTTTTGCTTAATGTTTGGTATTGTTTTATCGCTGCTATGAGCATGTATTTCAAGCTTCACTTTTTTTGATATCCATTTTTGCATGTCAGTCATGTGGCCCTTCCTACCACCAGATAATATTGAATAAGATTTTGTAGTATGCACGCCACAACTAACCACTTCAATCTGATGTTTCACATCTTCATCTTCATCTCTGAAGTACAGTGGTTATGTGAATCGGTGACATTTCTGGGAAGACAGTTATTTCAGTTGTTGGGCAGAACAATGAACTGAAAGAACTATTTTTAAAAATAATACCTAAAGCAGCATTATGAAAATTATTGTATGAATGTTGTTTATCAGATTTGGTTCTGCTAATTACCATGCTTCCCATGATGCAGTGTAAATTCCTGATTAGAAAAAGGTTCCTCTTTCGATATCATCCTGCATTTTCCCTTTGTAGACACTGTGTAAACATTTTCTATATTGAAGGGGGGGGCAGTTATTTGTCTGATACTGCTATTTGAAGCATGTGCCAATGTACTTCTACTGAAATGCTGTTCACTTGCGATGTATTTCTCGTTGATTTATATTAACTGAATTAAGTTGTCATGTTAATAATAGATTGCTGGACAGTTTTAGAGCACTTGTAGTGCTTTGACTCTTTTCTGATGGAGCCCCCAGAATTGAAAGGCACACTGCCGGGACATTGTTGTCATGGTTGCCTTTTGGTTTGGTCTCTCTAATTTTCAGAAATTACCTGATTTTATTCCTTGGGAGAACGTGATAATATTCTAGGCATCCTGGCATAATTAAGGGATGTCAAGCTTATAAAGGGACATAGTGTCTTTTATCAGCTGATACAGTTAATAAAAGTGGAAAAGGTTTCAGATGCATAGCCCTTCCATAACTTCAACATACAGTGCATTTTTATGTGAATAATGTCCGTCCTTATCTGACTGATAATTTCTGAATATTTGCATCATAAAATAGGATAGTGCAATTACTTTGTGTATAAAAATTGTCTATATCTAGTATACCTTATCAGCACAGAATATATATGTATAAATGTTTCATGTTAATGTGTAAAAGAAATTGCAATAAATTATTTTTTCCACTGACAGAGAAATTTTGGGGTTTTCTTTTTGCTGAAAGCTCTATTTCATTATTTGATACAAAACAAGTATGTTCTCCATTCTGTAATTCGAAGTCCAAGTTTAAATAATTTATCGAGTCATTGTTCCAGTGTTTGCAAATGTCCAAGTCTCCCACGCTGAGCTCACATCCTCAGATTAAAGTAGTGTTGAAAATGTGTAGACTAATGCTCCAAAGATAGTAGACAAGGTCACAAAAATGCATACGTTCCTTTGAAACACTTGGATAATATTTAACGATCAGAAATTATTAATTGTCCACCTTGAGCAGGATGTACATTACCAACCAACGCTTTAGGAATGGGAAATGAAGAGAGGAAGCCACATACATTCCTTCCCATCATCTCACTGTTGGACAGCAACGCATCCCAGCACTCCGTGAGAGGTTGCCTTCGCTCTGCTAGAGACACAACAGCAATCTGCACTTAAAGTTGACCCAGCTTACCAAAACTTTAATGGTGACTCCAGAAGAAGTGGGGTTTGCGACGGCTGTGGTTGTGCATTGACATAATTCATGCAAAAGGATGTGAAGTAACTGAAGTTTCTGTATTACGCTTCAAGCTGATGGAAGGTGGCATGCCAGAAAACCTGAATAATGCTCTGAGTTTGTATTTTACCCTCTGAATCATTTCAAAGGATCAAAGCTCCTGTTAAACTAGATTGTAACATAACCAATTTCTTAAAGCACTAGAATAGTATCTTATATATTGTGTTCATATAAGTGCTTTTTATCTCAAGAAAACCAGTATGATTTAGGCACTGAACCACTTTCATTGCTAAAACTGGTCTTCACTGAAATGCTGCATTCGGCTACTAAAATTATACTTTGGTTAAATATTACTCTCAGATAACAGTTAAAAACTTCTGCAGGTATTTAGTTCTTTTATGTGTGCTCTATTGCCTCTTTTATTTAACTATAGTGATTTACTTTTTCAGTAGAAGCTCTCTAGCTGAAACATGAGGCAAAGTAATTACCAAAGTCTGTTTCAAAGGCATTTACAAATGCATCTGTTTTACTTTAGTAGTTTTTGTAAAAAAGTTGAAACAAGGAGAAGAAAGGGGAAAGCAGCAATGAAATTGCAAAATGTGGAATGCTTAGCTGTTTGTAATCTTCTGGATCATTTGCTTTCCTTTGAATTCAGATATGCAAAAGAGTTTGGGCTTCTGTGGTATTATTAACTGAGGCCGTGGCCGTGCAGGGGGCTCTGCTACTCTACTGCTATCTTAAAGCCGGCACTGCGGTTGGCTTCCATAACGCAAGGCTGAGTAGTCTGACTGTTGCTCGTGTTTCTTGGATAATATACTCCCTTTTTTTCCTAATACAGGGCTTGAAAAACAGCAGGACTTGCCCTGGCTTCAGTAAATTTTGAAGTAAGCTTATTAAGCACATACTGTCAATAAAGACTTCTGCAACCAGTGAGGCCATCTGATAATATGGCCCATGTTTTTAGATTATGGTCTTTTCGTTGACCTTCCCTATGTGGAAATCTGTCAAAACTTGGGTTTTTTTTTTAAATTTATATGGGTAGACAAATATGTGTGTTTACTTTTTAGCAAAAATATTATCACTTATAACATAGTAAGAGGGAACTATTATTACTATATTTACATTTTAATCATCAATACACTCTCACAGGCTCGGTTGAAATGTTACAGGTTATGAGCCTTACACAGTCAATTTTGTTTGATGTTTGTATGCTATAAGGTAAAAACTAAATCCAGTCCTCAGTGGGAACAAACTTTGGGAACAGTTTCATGTTTGGTAATTTTTGGGGAAAAACGGGATGATAAACAATGAATGAGACACTCATTGAGATATCTATTTACAGTATTATCACAACAGTTACTCTTGTATTTTTTACTTACAAAAAGAAATTAAAATGTTCTACTGAGGCTAGGGAACTAGAGAGGCTTTATAAATAAGAATAGCTTGAAAACTATCTTGAAACTTCAATAAATGGGAAGGGCATGGGTAGAATACTGCTGGTTTTAACTCCATATACATTTCTGAAAAGTTGCACATGGGGACAGACCAAACAATAATAAGCTATGCAAGCAGAACTCCGTTTTCTTCTAGGAGAGTGTGGGCTTGCAAACTTTGCCATTCCAGCAAACACATCTACAGATGTCATAACTGCAATGCAGCTGGGAAGTGCAAACAAGTCAGCAGCTAGAGCAGAAGACTGCGATGTCAGGACTCCAGCTCTGATCTCTGATTGATATCACAAGCTCTTGCACAGCTCATAGTTCAATTTTTATCCCTCCTGTATCCAGCACCAGCTTAGCTGTAATGATCTGAGAGGTATAGCGTCTCTCCCTTGCCCCCAGATTCGATGATGTAAGAGAGTCATGCATTATTCATGAAAGTAAGGGGCCTTTATCCTTATTGCTGTGATTCCTGTTGGGACCATCCACTAAGTCCAGCTGAATGCACACTAAAATTTTGCAGGACCTGGGGACTTTTTGTTCACATTCACGACTGGTTTGAAGGAGCAGGAGACAGCAGTATGTGTCTTAGACCTCGGTATAATAATAAAAACTATCACCCAGAAGACTGTTAATTCACCCTGCTGCTATTGGGCTATATTTTGTTTGTTTTTAGAGGGCCTGCATGTTTTTATTCTTATCTCTCAAAGGCATCATTGGCAGCAGTGGTTTATCAGCACCCAGAAAAGTCAATGTAGCTCTTATATACATGTATATATTTATTTTATATGTGTATATATACACACGTATAAAGGACATCCTCCAGGAATGAGTCATAAAGACAAAAGTGCAAAACCAAATTAGGTTATGTGAGATTTTTTCATTACTTGGTTACCATGTTTACTGTCGTTAGTGGTACAAAACGTATCTGACTAGTTACAATCTCACATTTAAAAGACAATTATATGCACAAGAAGGAAATAGGAAGGGATATGCTGGCATCTGATATGCATACGAGTTGGGTGGAGCTTGAGGCTCCAGAACCTTTTCGTTGAACAAAACTCTAGTACTAAAAATCTAAAGCTAATAAACATTTGAGTGTGGTGCAGCCAAGCTGTGCACTGCAATATACTTGTATTCTGAAATGTTGATAGCCATGTCAGTAACACCTATCTCCCCGGAGCCAGAGAAAGGCGTGAGGCATCTGTATCCTGATGTGTTTTTCATCACCATGTAGACAGGTCAACACTGTGCATATATTGTCACAAACTGTAAAATGTTTATTCAATGCATTTCCAGGACCATCATGTATTAAAAAAGAAAAAACCCAGCATGTTGGATAATTACATTCTAGCAGTATGAGAACTTAAAGAGAATTTGGTCTTCCTGTTCTCCAGACAGTCATCGGGCAGTCAGCATAGCAGTCCAAATGGGAGGTTATGGGCTGCTGTAAATGGATTCCGTCAGTCACTGTGTTGGCTTATCATCTCCAAGTAAACGGATGCTACTGGATTTTTATTCCTGTTTTATTTGAGTGCCAGGGACACACAGAGGGTCCATGTTATTATTTTTCAATTAACAAGATCCTTTCTCTCCTGGGGGAGAGTCTGAAACTGTTGTCTTCACGCACCTACCTGACAATGAGCAGGGAGCCAGTAATAAGGCAGTAAACAGAGCCCTGCTAATCTACCGGTTAAAAAAAAAAAAAAAAAAAGGTGCTTCTATTGCCCAACCTATAGCTGCACATACAAGGCACTTCTTTTTTTTTTCGCTATTGTTCTTCAGACTTGTGGCTGTGCTTTGGGTGACAGTTGTGGAAAAACTGCAACAATACGTGCTGTCTCCACCAATTCACTCTTTGTTTGTTATTAGCAGGAAAAGGCTAATGTTAATTTTCATCATAATGGTCAATGGGTCTTTCTGCTAATGTGACTCCTTTGGAGATAACGACAACCGGGGAATGTAAGAAGAATTTTGTGTTTATTTGGGATGAAGCTGTGTGTTCTCTGTTATAAAGGGTTTAGTTCCTGACTATTACGCATACCTAGCAGTCAGATTGACATTGCTGTTGTTATTGGTTTTTTGCAGAGATGATTATGGGGATTTCAATATGTATAAAACACCTAGTACCATTTTTACGCTACAGTACAATTGTACTTTCAAGAGAAGCAATTTTGTGTGATGAGGGTCTGTGACCTTGCAGCAGTCAGCCAATGCTAGCACACATTTGTTTTTATCTGTTCATGTGCCGGACACCTCTGGCATGAAGCCTGTGTGATTTTTTTATATTGCAGGTTCTCAGGGTCATTCTAGC